CACAGTCAGGGGGTCAGATGACCAACTGACTGGGAGACCACTATCAAAGTTTAAGGGATCCCCTCCCATTCTTATATATGTATTCAGTTCAGGTCTATTACCAGGTGTTTCTTTCATGAAGGAGTTTTAAGCTAGTCTTGTAAGGATAAGTTTTATTTTGGTAACTCTGTCTCCTGGAAATCCCCAGGCCAGGGTTGGAAACACCCAGGTCAGGCTGCATCATACCACTGAGTGATAGGTAGTGACAGTCCTGCAAGATGCTTGAGTGGGCCTTATGACTATCACTAATCTCCTAGCCACCATATGTCTCTCATACTGCACCATCTTATAGATGTGGAAACTGAGGCTCAGAGGAGTGCACCAATTTTCAGGAGGTCTCACAGACTATGAGTGATGAAGCTTGGAAACCCTTCCAGCCCCCACTGCTCCTGTCTGAGGCCACAGCAAAACCAGGGCACCTGCCCTAACACCATGTTCTCATCTGGGGGGCTTCCCTCCCCATGGGTCCTCTCCAGCTCGGGTGGTGCCAAGAAGCCAGCCCTCAAGAGCCCCGAGGGCCCTGCATTTTGACTTTCTGCCCCTGCAGGTGTTTGCCTCCTCCACGCAGAGAACTGTGCCGCCACGAAGGCTAATTATAAATGCCGGGTATTTATAGTGAGTTTCTCCACCCAGTGCTTCCAGCACCTCGAGGGAACTATTTACAGAATCCTCCCAGCACCTCGGAGAGAAAGGCAGAGCTTAGCAGGAGAAACTGAGGTGAAGTGACAGAGTAAGGACCCTCAGCAGAGGAGACTTTGCAGGGACCCTGGGAGCAAGCTCTCGGGTTTGTTCAGACAGCTGTCAAGGAGAGAGAGCACAAAAGGAAACTGATGAGTGCACACGTGTCAGATGCCTGGTGGCCACTGATGAGGCCACTTCCCAGCACCAGCCCATTTATCTCTGTGCCTCAATTTCCTCATCTGTAAAATGTGGCTATGGGGCTATGTCTCCTAGGCATGTGAGATTTAAACGAGTTCAAACAGGTAAAGAAGAGAACCTAGAAAGGAGTAAACCTCAATAAATATTAGCTTTTTCTGATTATCAGCATCCTTACAGCAACTAATCCAATAAAGTAGGTAAGCCTTATCCATTGGTTTAAACTTCAGAAAATGAATAATAATAATTAAATTTCTAATTGTTTCCTCTATGATGCATAGTTGTGCCACAAGACTATTGAGGAACCAGATTAGAAAGGCAAAAGAAGCTGGTTTTTCTATATGTAGACCACAGGAGAAAAGTAGGGAAATAAAAAGAGAGGAGAGGAGAGAGTAAGGGAGACAGAGTGCCTTGTTTCTAGTTCTGTGCTCATGGCCAAAGTACAGCGACCCACAGAGCATGTGACAGGTGAGTTGGTAAAAACAAGAAATTGGCACAAGATCCTTGTCCCCAAGGAGGCTACTGTGCATGCACACCTCCTACTCAGTTTGTGGTATTTGTTACAGCAGCCACAGGAAACTAATACACTCCCTGCAGCATCTTCATTAAAGTCCTAGATCACTGAAAAACATCTGGACTACATGAGCCTCATTGCTGTGGATCCATGATGGGGCTGAGAGGCACCGAGTCTACCCGACACCCCTTTCCTTGCACAGCCACGTGTAGGCACTCAGTATTCTGGGACTTGCTGACACATCCTGGCCTGGGGCTATCAACCTCCACAGGATTCCAGGGCCCACACTGCCCCCACTTCTGGCAGGAGGAGAATCCCAGGTAGCCTCCTCAGCAATGCGTAAGCTATTTTCAGCTCAGCAGCTGAGCATTTCAGCAAAGAGCATCTTGGAAGTATTTCCTGGTCCCCTAGAAGAGCCTTGTGTTCCTCTCCTTGTGCATCACCAGATTTAGCCTTACTCCTGCCTGCTCCCACTACATACCATGGTACCCAGAGCACCTCCAGTACAACCAACCAGCTCAGGACAGGGGACCAGGGGTAGGGGGTTCCTATCCCAGAGGTGGGGGGTTCTGCAGGACAGCAGATGGGTGGGGTCTTGGGGGATCCTGGAACAGATGAAGTCTCAAAATAGGCACTGGAGCAGTGATTCTTGGCCCTGATATACACGAGATTCACCCAGGGAACTTTTAAAACACATGATGCCCAGGCTGCTGCAAATTAATCAGAATTTCTGAGGTGGGACGAAGAGGGCAGTTTTTTAAAGCTTCTCAGTGAATCCAATGTGCAGTCAGGGGCTAGACCAGAACTACTGTTCTCAGAGTGTGAATCACAGATCAATAGCATCAGCATCAGCATCACCTGGGAGGTTTGAGAACTGCAGAATCTCAGACCCGTTTAATCGGAATCTGTGTTTGAACAAGAAGGTCTCCAGGAGACTCCCTGGCATGTTAAGTTTGAGATGCGCAACAGTGTAAGACTGCCAGCTCCGAGTCAAACTGCCAGAGTTGGTGAGGAGTGTCCACCACTTCTTAGCCACGAGGCCTCAAGCAAATGACGACCTCTGAGCTCCTCTCTTTCTCCATTTGGCTTTCTCCCCCATCCCACGGGTGGGGGCCAGGAAACCCCTGGAGTCTGCAGTTGCCCAGGGAGCCCAGTAAGAATATCCAGGAAAATCCACAGCCTGTCTTGGAGGAAGAGGTTTAGGTGGACCCTGAAGCTGAAACAATCTGGAGGGCCTCCTGAAGAAAGAGAACATGAAATGCCAAATACAAAACCAGGTACAATTTAAAATATTCTGCCCCTCTGTCTCTTTAAATGAGCACCATCATCAGAGAGATATGTCCTGCCCTTTCAATTTCAAAGAATACAGCGTGTGTATATGTGTGTGTGTACATATATGTGTGTGTGTGTGTGTGTGTGTATATATACGTATATGTATATTTACAATCTTGACCTCATGATAAATTAACAGCCTGGTCAAATGTGTCCCCCCAAGATTCGTGTGTTGGAAACTTGATCCCCACTAACAGTGTTAGAAGGGTGGGAAATCTGATTATGATATTTGAAAGGTGGGGCCTACTGAGAGGCGATTGGATCGTGAGAACTGTGTCCCCATGAATGGATTGATCCATTCATGGAGTAATGAGTTGTCATGGGTGTGGACTGGTGGTTTATAAGGAGAGCAAGTGGGAAGGTTAGCTCTCGCTCTTGCAATTCTCACCATGTGGTACTTGCATTGCCGTGGGACTCGCACAGAGTTTCCACACAGAAGGTGCCCCCTGGACCCTGGACTTCTCAGCCTCCAAAACTGCAATAGATAAATTTCATTTCTTTATAAATTATCCAATTTCAGATATTCTGTTACAAGGAACAAAAACAAACTAACACACAACCTTTCTACAGTAGTTGAAGAATAACAGAATCTTCAAGGTATTCAAGAGACGTGTTACAGAAAGTCAATGTTTCATTGAAGCTCCTCCAATAAGTGATCAGAGATCTGGAAGAACATTGGAAAAGCCAGTGGTTTAGAGGGAAAACCAGGCAGCTCTCTGAAGAATTTTAAAAACAGGAACAAGGATTTCTCAATTTGCAAGGCTCTCTGGAAACAGGCCCTTTCGGATGAAGGCGGCAGGCTATACTTAGAAAGAGATTCATGGTAAAGAGTTCTGCTACTATAAATGCATTTCCAAAAGCCAAACATATGTGTGCACACACATAAATACCATATATATGGAGGATATAAATTGGTGTATGACATTTAGCCCTTCCTAAATTGGGAAAAATATGTAATTACTACTTTTTTTTGTTAGTGAGAGAATAAGAAGACATCTCACTCCAATAAGATCGATCTGGTAAAGAATTATCTATATTCCTCAGTGTAGCTCAGTCAGTCATTCACTCATTCAGTCTCCAAGTAGTTGAGAGTGTCCATATGCCAATGAGGAACAAGACTGATACAATCACTGTCTTTATAAAAGGGCAATCTAGTGCTGGCCTCTCAACATGTGCTCTTAGACCAGTAGCACTGATCTCCTCTGGGAGCTTGTCAAAATGCAGATTCTCATGCTCCATCCTGGGACTACCAACCTGGAACCTGTATTTTAGCAAGCTCCTCCAGGGATGCACATTAAGGTTTGAGAAGCACTGATCTACTACAACCTAATTTCTGAAAGTGCTTAGCCACGGAGAAATGTTGCCTGGAATTTAGATGTCGCTCGTGGCTCACGGGTAGGGTGTCATGAAATGGAAAATTTAATAAAGTTGGCAATATCCAAAAGTTAGTAAATCCCCTTCCAATGCAGATTATGAACCTAAGTCCTGGCTGAATTGTATAATTGCCAAAGGCCATGGAAATCAGCAACTCTACAGTAGCGATAAGGGAAGCTGGGAGGTATTATACAACCATTTCATGATTCATCTGTGCCATGAGTCCAGGGACACTGTCAGGAAGTCAGAGATGGGTTCGAGCTGCAGGGTGAGAGGGTTTGGAGGAAAAGTTTGCCTGTCTTGGTACAGAAACTGAAAAGTGTCAGATTCCAGCTCTGACACTCAAGCCCGCTAATGAATGGATTGGCTCCAAGATCGGCAGGGTAACAGATGGAAGCAGAAGAAATATATATATATAATTTCTCTCAAATTTGCTGAGTCCGATGAAGATGGCAGAAGATTTGGATGCAGCCAGCGTGATTAATCTTACCAACTTTACCTTGAGTTTCACTTTGGGCTGGGGAATGGCATCAGCTTAAAAGTTAATTACAAGCGAGAAACAGATCATGCAGCTGATGTGCACATTACAAACAAATTAAATTCTTAAAATAGGCAATTCACCACTTGGAACAATGGTTTATGAGCCCACGGGTGCATGAAAATAATTGTGGAAGGTGAGCAAACTAATAGCTAAAATATGGGAATTAAATGAGGGCAAACTGAATATATTAACCAAAAAGGAAAGGAAAACATGGTCAAGCTTTCATTTTGTAAACAACAAGCCAAGCGGAATGATCTAGGATGCAACCCCCTGTGGAAGGAGCAGATAGGACCCTGATGGAGATGGGGCTCCCCAAAGATGTAGAAAGAAGCAGCTAAAGTGCAGAGAATCTGGGCAAGAGGAGGGACTGCCCAGCAGGGAAATCTTAGATTGAAGCTGGCAGAGGCAGCATCTCACCACAAAAGGGTAAATTAGGAGATGCGTGGGAGAGGAAGTTTCAACCGTAGAAAGTTGGAAATTAAGTCCAAAGTCTTCATTGGACAAATGAAGAAATCAAGCACAGAGAGGGGAAGTAACTTTCCCAAAGTCACACAGCAAGTGTCAGAGCCCGGACTTCAACCGTGGTCTCCTGACTCCAGGTCACACTTCCTTCTCATTCAAAAGGGGTTGCAGATTCATGTGCCTACAGGTTCAGGCAGGGAGCAGAAATGCAAAAGCTGGCCTGATGTGGGAAACTATAGGCCAGTGGAGTCCAATAGAAATCCAGTGTGTACCACATACCTAATATAAAAGTAGCCATCTCAATTAAGACCAGTCACATTTCAAGTCTCAATAGCTACATGTGGCTAGTGGTCCCCTTATTGGACAGTGCAACCACAGGGAGCGATGGGAAATGCTAAAAACTGGAGAGGGGTGACCCATCTAAATGGAACATCAGCCACAATCCCAATCTAACTTCTCTGAGCCTCAAGTTTTTTATCTTTAAAATGGGAATTTTCTCTTTTAGGGACATGTTTTAAGGACCAAATGAGAAAATTAAATGTAAAAGCAACTTGTCAATGTCGAAACACCACATAAACATAATCATTGCTGCTAGAACTTTCTTAGAGAATAGGGCATGGCTAACCATCACGATGGCATGTGAGCCCCTACCTGCTACTGTCACTAGGATTTCAAGCCCTGCCTGCCCACATCCTGTTCCTGAAGTTTGGAAGAGCCTTCTTCACTAAGAGTTTATAGCCTTCCTGTCACTTCGTACACACTGTCATCCATACCATACTGTAATCTTGGGCACTAAATTCACTGATTCATTCAACAAACACCACTGAGCATCACCTTGTGTCAGTCACTCTGGAAACTGAGAGTCTATACTGGAGTGGACACTGTCGGTGCTCTGTCTCCATCTTTCATCAATCTTTTGTGCTCATTTCCTGATGTCTGTGTGCCCAGCTCACTCTACTTCTTTCCTAAGAGGACTTCCTTTGGGCTACAGGAGCCCCATCACTCATATCTGTGAGTTTATGTCCCCGCCAGGGCAGCCCCTAACCAATGACACATGGGGGCAGGACACAAACGCCCAGTTGCTCCTGGATCCAGGTGGGCCAAACTCAAAGGCATCACTTACCCTCCAGAGCTCCCCGCAGGATCAGGCTGAAGCTGAACTTCCTCTGAAATCTCACCCTTGCTTGGCTACTTCCCCTTCCGGGTCTTTCAGTCAGTTTCTCCTGGGAGCACTTTCCTAATTAATCACTTGCACACGAATCCTCATCCCAGGGCCTGAATCCGAGAGAACCTGGCCTAAGACACAGACATGATTATCACTCCTACAGAGCCCCTGCCATCAAGGAACTCTCCAGCTAACTGGGAAAGCTGAGATGCCACAAGCCGGAAAACACTTTATTCACCAGAAGTCCTTTTGGGAAAAGTGCCATATTTGCTTGGACGGATGTCTTAATAAGATCACTGGGGGCAAAACTGATTCTCTAAGGGCATGAATGCTGCTGGTGCCAAGACTTCAAGAGAAGAGGAGGAAATTGCTCTGTGTGAGACGGTGAGACAGATTTGTTTGTCCCCCAGAGCAGAACATGAAGGAGAACATGAAGGATTTTAGGGGTCAGGACAAGAGTGGTGTGGTGGAATACCTCTCCTCTTCAGCAAGCTAGAGAGCAGCATGCAGACACAGGGCTGGAGACAGAAGAGTCGACAGGAAACTAACCTCTTCAAGGCTTTGGACCATCTCAGGTCATAGAATGAGGCCAGTCTGCAAGCTGCCACCAGTGTCCCCAGGAAGACTGCAGTAGCCTCCTCCGTGTTCTCTTGCCCCCTCCCCACATCGACTTCCCACCAGAAGCCAGAGTGAGCTTTTAAAATGTAGCTAGGTCTTTTTTTTTTTTTTTAAATTGTGCATAGTTATTTTTTTAATCTCTATGTGAAAACTCATATTAATCCCTCTTTGATAGCAATGGTTAGATACTAATTAAAACCTCTATGTAACCATTGTTTACAAAGTTCCTGGTATAAAAACAGGTCAATTGAACTGGAATAAAGCAGACCACAGTTCATCTGATTCTGGCTGTGTGCTTACATGTAAGAGAGAGCAAGCTCTTGTGGGCCGCCAATCCCTTCAAGGGGACCCCACTCTCATGACCTCATACTGTGAATGACAGCTTCAAGACATGAATCTGGCCAGCTGCCCCATGGTTTCAGATCACCCGTCAAGTCCAGGCCGTGTTCCCCTTCTTCAGGGACGACTACGAAGACTGGAAGGACTCCATCTGCTGCAACCTTTCCTCCGACCGATACTTCTGAAAGGTGCCCAGGACCCAACGAAGGCCCAGCCAAGAGCAATTTCTGGGCAGTCGATGTGAGCCTGATCCCGTTGGAGGCACTGCAGCTGCAGAATACCACCTTGTGCCAGCACTGGCAGACAGGGGCATGCAGAGCCTTCACCAAAGACCTGGGCCCCTACATGCTGCATGGTTGGCCTTACTGGCCACCCATTACCCCACTGCCACCACCCAGCAAAGGCTTCAGCATTAAGTCTCTGTTTGGAGACCCCAGGGAGAGGACACCCTGGCCCCAGCTGGCACTACAGAGCAGCTCAGCTCTGACAGGCACAGGGAGCAGTGTGGAGGAGGCCGTGTCCACTCCACCCCTGCACTCCTCCGAGGGTCCTCTGTGGCCCCCCAGCCCCCTCTCCAGGCCCACAAGAATGGAGGGGGAGACTTTGGAGGGGGGAACTATCGGGCCCTCATCCCTCTCCACAGAGCCCAGGGCCTGGCCCCTCCACTTACTGCTGGGGGATTGTCCAGCAGGGGACACAAGGCCTTGCTTTGGGGGCAGCTGCCCACCTACTACTTGCCCATTTACACCCTCAATGTGGTAATGCCCTTGGCCCCACTACCACCCACCTCCTGTCCCCAGTGCCTACCTTTAACCAGCCCAGCCTACTGGGGAGTAGCCCCTGAAACCCGAGGGCCCCTAGGGCTGCTCTAGGATCTAGACACCCCCTTCCAGGGAGTTCCACCCAACAAGAGCATCTATGAAGTGTGGGTCAGCAGCCACCTTTGGGACCTGGCTACCTCTGCCCCAGGCTGGCTGCTCTCCTGGTACAGCCTGTGAGGCTCCTAGGACAGGGGCTGCTTCTCCCTCCTGCCCCTCACCAGCTTGATGCGAGCCAAGGCCAGGATGGTGTCTGCAGTACAGCAGCCTTGAAACACAAGACACCAGCTTGCTGAGAGTACACAATGCTTTTTTGTTTTGTTTTGTTTTTTATTGAATCATAATTGATTAGACATATTTGGGGGATTCAATGTTGAGATATGTTGATCAAATCAATATTACTAGCATATATATTATTACAAATCATACTTATTCTTTATGACCCTTGTCCAATCTCTCCCCATCCCCTCTCCCTCCCCCTCCCCCTTCTAATTACCCTAGATTTCTTCTCTCCCTCTGAAAGAGTAATTGTTACTCGATTGAATTGTTGCCTAGGTGATCTGTCCAATGCTGAGAGGTGTGTTCAAGTCCCCCAATATTATCGTGCAGCAGATGCTCCTTCTGTCACTCTGGAATGGGCTTTGTAGAGAGAGACATCCTCTTCTTTTCTTTGGTTGCTGCTGGTGACTCTCCTTGTGGCAATGCACTTCAGTGGCTGGTGGACCATCTGCACAGTGTGTGGCATCTAGCCACTTTTGTAGCAGCTGTGGTTATTGTGGTGGCTGTGGTGGGCCACGCACATGGAGGTGATGTTTTTGGCATGCTCCTTGGTGCTAGCGGTGTGCCTGGTTGTGCGAGGTGGGGGCGTCCAGTCCTCGGCTCCATACTTCAGGTCCCTGGGCGGGCCCCAAGGTGCTGGCAGTGTGCCTGGGCTGGAACTAATTTTTTGTCCTTTGGTTACTTAAAAAATAGGGGAACTTCCTGTTGGAACCAGTACGTGAGCTGTGGTTTAGCTAAATTGCTGTTTTGCTGCTGTTTCCCTAGGGAAGGCTTTTTGTGCAGCTCAGGTTTTAATGGTTGACTTCATAGGTACTTCCAGCTCTCCAGAGACCCAGTGCACCTGGGTTATGTAGAAACTCCGATATGGGCCTGAGTCTTTTCATCAAACTGCACCCCCTGTAATTCTATATTCTTGACCAGTCTCCTCTGAGTGGTCCTATGCTGATTAGGGGGCAGATCAGCTGTCCTTGCTGTGCTCCAGTGTTCCCCTGGTAGGCCAGTCTCCCCCACCACCCATGCTGCAAACACTTCCCATGGGACTCACCGGTCTCTGAGTGGCTCCTTTTTTTCAGTTGTTGTGGCTTCTCGTTCCTATGTGGGTCCACGGGAACCCTCTTAGTGGTTTTGCTGGCCTAGGGGCCACCGAGGCCCTCTTTTCCCATGCCATCTCCATGCAACTCCATCCAAAGGGCACACCTACAGCTTTTGCTGGTTCCTGTTCCATGTGCTCAGCAACTCAGCCTTAAAGTGGCAGTGGCATGAAATGGTTGGAGCAGTTTTTTCTTTCTCTCATCATGGCTTCCCCCACCTTCATGCACTCCGTAGGTCTCTCCTCCTCTTGCCCTGAGCTCTAGCATCCCCAACTTGGCTGTTGTTACTTTTGTATAGTTGTAAATTGGTTGATTTGTTGGAGAGAGTGATGCTGGGGGTCACCTATTCTGCCATCTTGACCAGAAGCAGGTACACAATGTTTACTGGAAAACTCCACAAAGGTTTGTGGCCCAGCTGGGCACAATCCTGGCCCTGGCCAGTCATGCTTCTGCCTCCCCTACACCCTGAGGCAAGACTGGAGGAGCAGGGCTCAGCCTGGAGTAGCCATTCCTGATCCCATCTTCTCAGGACCACGATCATCCATCCATCACCATCTGTCACTTCCCCCAACCCTGGCTCCAGGCTGGGGGAGGAAGAACCTAATGATAGATCCAGCCTGAAGTCCTTCCCTCCCTCAACAGTCTGGGAAGGAGGTAACACCTTTTGAGGGAAAAGGGTTAGCAAATAAAGACTAGACCCTACATGGTCTTGTGGGGTGGGGGAATTTACAACCACAACAACAAAAAAGACATGAATCTGAGGTTAGGGGGAGACACAAGCATTCTATCCATAACAAAAAGTACTGACAATAAATCCAGTGGGAGAAGATTTGGGTCCCAAACTTGCCTGCTGTGGTCATCACCAGAACTGTTTACCAAACATTTTCAGCTTTCTGCTCTCTAGGCTCATGATGAGATAATATCTCCTGGGCCCTTTGCAGTTGAATGGGACCACGGGACTTGTTCCACCCAATGCATTGAGAGCAGAGTGATCTGTGTCACTTCTGGACTGGAGCATTTAACTGACAGTGCAAGACCCTCCATAGTTCTCATCACCTTTCCTCAGGAGGCATCACTGTTTCTGCTCAACTCCTCTTTTCTCTCCCCTCCCCTCCATCTAAGGAGAAGCTCCACTCTTCTCAAACTCTAATTATTCTAAACACTAGGGGATTCTTCTGAATCTTTTTAATTCTCCTAAGGGCTTAGACTTTTGGAACACTAAAGATGGGCACTTGCAGACTTTCTTCTGCTTTTTATACTGTCCCATCTCTCCCCTTAGGCAATGAGCCCAGTCATCTGCTTAGAATGGGGTAGAGGGGGCATAGAGAAAAAAAGGAAAATGATGGGAAAGTACATCAATTAATAATTCAAAAACTACCATTGACTTATCTTCAAATTAACAAACTCATTCCTCTATCATCTTCATTCTGTTGTTAACCCCTCTCTGCGAATGTTTTATTTTAGATATTGTATGTTCTAGACCTAGAATTTTCATTTGTTTCTTTCTTATTGTTTCTATTTTTGACTGAGATTTCTTATTTTTTTTATTTATTATGAGCATATTTTCCTTTACATCACCGAGCATCATTAGAATAGCTGCTTTAAAATCCTTGTCTGTTAATTCTAACATCTGGGTCATTTTGAAGTCAGTTTCCATTTATTGTCTGTTCTTTCGAGAATGGGTCACATTTTCCTATTTCTTTGCATTTCAAGTAATTTTGGACTATATCCTGGATGTTGTCAATGTTATATTGTGGACACTCTAGATTCTTCTCTATTTCCCAAAAGAGTGTTGATTTTTAAAATTTATTTTTGGAGACGATTAACTTGGTTGGACACAGAAGTACAAACTCTTCCAGTTGGGCAGCAGCTCAATTCTCAGATTATTTCTTTTAGCTTTATCTGGGCTGCTTAGGGCTTGCCCTGTGCATATTTGCTTCATAAGGTCAGCCAGAGATCTGAACAGAATTTATACACAGAATTGAGGCTCTAAATCTCCGACACTTTCCTGTACCTTCTACCTCGCTTTTCTGTAGGAGCAGTTGTCTATAACTCTATGCTCTGGCTCTATCCTCTGGGCCAGAAGGAGTGCAGGTATTCTATTGGAGTTTTAGCCACCACGACCCATCCTGTAGGTAGTTCGTCTTTTGTGTTTCTTCCAGGGATTATATTTGTTGTCCACGGGAAGAACAACCCAGTTGACATTTAGTTGGCCATTGCCAGAAGCACATTTCACTTTAGAAAGGATTTTTAGCTCTTAAAAAAAAAATCAAAAGTATATTATCTCATAATAAAGGATAGGCCTTTAGAGATACATGTATTTCTGTTAATAATTGCCTACATCCTTATTTTTCTCCTTTGTCACAAACCTCTGAAAACTTCATCTGGAATATTCAACAATCAAAGCTCTAAATTTTCAACTATTTCCCACCTCACCTGCAGGCCTGGTTCCTCATTTTGTCTTCATTAAGACAAAATTAATTTTTGTAGAGTAACTTCTAGTGTCGAGCCCTTTGCTATTTGATTTGCCAGTTTAAATCAGTTTTACCCTCATTTTACAGATGAGAAAACCTGGACTCAGAGAGAATATGTAGATTGACAAAGTCTCAAAGTTACAAAGCAAAGGATCTAGAGTTTGCCCTTGGGTGACTGGGGTATTCAACAGAGACAGGTACTGTGAGCAAAAATAATATCTGCTGGTCAACACCCCTGAACTTTATCAGCACCACACTGTAATCAACTGAGCTAACTTGGCAGCCCTACACTGAACTTTAAAAATCATCTTGTGTCTATCTTCTCTAATCGACATTACCCAGGCTTTAGCGAGAAATCACACATTGATTGGGCATTTCAAGAATGTTGGGATTCCCTGATTCTTTGCAAGGTCACCCCTCAAGGCCACATTTCATGGAGTTCCACAGGATTCCAAATCAATGGCCCTGTGTAGACCACAAACTCCAAGAGACCCCAGCCCCAGTCTGCCTGCTTTGAAGTTTCCCCAATGTGCCTTTATAAATTACAAATATCAGCCCCTTTCCTATTCTGCTGGTAGGGCTATAAATCGCCCTTTCTGGGGGACAACTTGGCAATACCTTATTAAAACTGCTCAAATTCTTTCACCAAGGAATTTCACTTCTAGGAACAAAGCCTAAGGGAACAATCACAGAAGCACACTGAGATTTATGTACAAAGATGAACACTGCAGCATGATTTGTAACAGTGAAAAATGGCAAAGAATTGAAATGTCCAAAAGTAGGGAATGGTTCAATAAAACATGATACAGCCATACCATATAAAAATATGTAGCTGCTAAGAATGATATTCCTGGAGAATATTTAAGGATGTGGGGGAAATGCTGATGTACATAATGTTGAACTAAATAAAATAATGTAGAACATGTATCTCTGTATAATATTATCCCATGTATATGCGTGTGTGTGTTTGTATATGCACATACAGGTATGTATCTATCTCTGCATGTATCTGAAATAATATACAACAAAATGTTAACAGCGGTATATCTGGGGCTTAATATTATCCATAATTTAAACATTTTTTTCTTTCTCATATCACTTCCTAAAATGAGTATATATGCTCTTAAAAGTCCAAAAAGAAATATTTCACTTGTAAGTGACATCAAGAGAAACCACAATGTCAAAGGGTAGAGAAGATGGTAATATAGCCCCTTAAATGCTGGAATTTCAAATATTCAGGGAGAATAAGGGCATTTCAAATCAAATAATTGACAGCTATGTATCAGTTAACCTCTGCTACATAATAATTACAAAATCTCAGTGGCGTATGACAAAA